TGATCAAGGAATTCACTTCTAAACAAAGGAAGTGAAGCAATGGGCTCATAACCATGGAATTAAATGGTCTTTACCACATACCCCATCACCTAGAAGCAACTAGCGTAACTGAAAGGTGAAACGGCTTACCAAAATCTCAGTTACAGTGTCAGTTGAGAGATAATACCCTGAAACAAAGGGGTTCTGTATATGCTTTGACTCAGAGATTAATATATATGGTGCTGTCTCCTTCATAGCCAGAATAGTCTAGAAATCAGAGGTGGAAGTAGAAGTGGACCCTCTCAAAATTACACTTAGTAACCCACTTGCAGAATTTTTACTCTCTATCCTGGCAACTGAGCTCTACTGGTTTGGAGATCATTGTCCTCAAGTGGGGGAACGCTTCTACCAGGAACAACAACAGTGGTTCTTCTTTCCTGAACTGGAAGATGAGATTGCCACCTGGACATTTAAGTTCCATATACTATGGAACCAACAGGCCAGATAAAAGGTAAGTGGTGTATTAACTTACTGACTGGAGTGATTATCCTGATTACCAAGGGAGAATTGAGTTACTACATGATGGCAGCAAGGAGGAACTTTTCTAGGACTTAGATGTTCTGGGGTACTTCTTAGTTCTTCCTTCCCCAATAATAAGGGTTAACAGAAAACTACATAGCAACAACAATAATTTAAAAAGGCAGAACATGGGGCACCTGGGTGGCTCAGTGGGTTAAAGTCTCTGCCTTCGGCTCAGGTCATGATCTCAGGGTTCTGGGATCCAGCCCCGCATTGGGCTGTCTGCTCAGCAGGGAGCCTGCTTCCCCTCCTCTCTCTCTGCCTGCCTCTCTGCCTACTTGTGATCTCCCTCTGTCAAATAAATAAATAATCTTAAAAAAAAAAAGGGCAGAACATAAGGACCCATACCCTTTGGGTGTGAAGGTTTTGGTCATTCCACAAGATAAAAAACCCAGAGCAACTGAAATTCTGGCTGAGGCCAAGAAAAAGATGGAATGAGTAGTTGAAAAAGGAAGGCACAGATAACAATTACAACCTCACGACTAATTACAGAAACTTTGCACATATTCTCTTTGCTTGTTATATTCATGGTTATTATTATTATATTCACATTATATATCATTATATATTATATTATTATTATATAATATATACAATATATTATTATATTATATTCACTTATATATATTATTATTATATTATATTCTTCTTCCTGATTTTTAGTTTATATTCAAGTTGTTGGTTGTGAATTTTACAATTTAGTCCTTAGGAAATGAATGGGACTATGAATGAACTTGAGGAATAATTAATATAGTCATCAATAGAAACAATGACTGTTGGAACCATTTTTAGGAAATGGTGAATACTTGTATGATGGACCTTCTTAGGTAGAAATATAAAAGTTCTTTGTCAATGTACAAATGTTCAAAGGTATGTAGAAAGGTACATATGGAAGCTGAATAATCAAAGGGTTGCACCTTGTCAGTTATTAATTTATTGCCTCTCAGCTCCAAATATATCTTTCTTGTCTGTTTTATGAATATGGATTTGGGTCTTGTAAATGTTTTCCTTTACCAGCTGGCACAGAATTAAATTTTGTCAGAGATGATGCTGGGGAGATCTAGAGGAGGAAAGGAATTTTCTTTCTGGTTCTAGATTGTTGCCTTGGCAGCCTCCCGAGACATTTCCAGTGTCCGTATCCCACAGTGCATGGTGGCCAGCAGTTCGGCAAAAACCTCTCCTCCTTGTGTGGTTTTGTAGTTGAGTGAGAAATTACCCCATGAACAACTTTCCTTGGCACCCTGAAGGGTGGATCTCTGGGAAGTTACACAGAGTGAATTTCCAGCATCAGTGACTTCTGCCATTCAGTGACCCATGGTTGTGCCCTCTTCAATAAAGTCTGGATATCTGCTCTGGGAGATGGTGGCTCATTCTTGGACACTCTATCTCAGTCCTAGTGGCAGTAGCTGCTCTTTATATCTGCTATTCTTATATTCTTTAGGGTTCTCTTTATATCTTCCTAGTCAATTCCTTGCTATTCTAACTCCCTGTTATAATTAATACTTCTTTAAACTTTTCCTTCCAAATTACTTTGTGTTTTCTGTCTCCTAAGAGGATCATGACTGACTCACATATCTACAATGTTAATACTAATACTAAATAACCCTATTATTAAAACCAGATAATGATATTACAAGAAAAGAAAACTGCAGACCAATGTCTCATGAACATAAAAGCAAGAATCCTCAATAGACGATTAATAAATAAAATCCAACAGTGTATAAAAATAATTATATACCATGACTAAAAGAGATTTATTCTAAATATGCTGGGATTCTTCAACATTTGAAAATCAATTAATGCAATCCATCTCATCAACAGGTTGAAGAAGAAAAATCATATGATCACATCAATAAATGCAGAAAAAGCATTTGATAAAATCCAATACCCATTCATGATAAAAACTCTCAGCAAAACTAGGAATAGAACAGAAATTCCTCAACTTCATAAAGAATATCTATTAAAAAAACTATAGCTAGCTGAGAAATAGGATGCTTTCTCTCTAAGATCCAGAACAAGGCAAGGATGTCCTCTCTTACCACTCCTATTCAATACCATACTGGAAGTTCTATTTAATGTAGTAAGACAAGACAAGAAAGTGAAAAATATACAGACTGGGAAGGAAGAAACAAAACTGTCTTTGTTCATAGATAAGATGATTGTTTACATAGAAAATCCCAAAGAATCAGGGCACCTGGGTAGGGCAGTCAGTTGACTGTCTGACTCTTGGTTTCCACTCCAGTCAGTTTCCAATCTGGTTGTAATCTTGGGGGTCATGGGATGGAGTCCAGAATCAGGCTCTATGCTCAGCGCAGAGTCTGCTTAGGATTCTCTCCCCCTCTCCCTCTGCCCTTCCCCCATGCACACACATGTGCACATGCATCATGTACCTTTCCTCTCTCTCACAAATAAATAAATCTTTTTTAAAAAAGAAAATCCCAAAGAATCAACAAAAAGCATCTTGGTATTAATAAGCAGTTACAGTAAGATCACAAAATATGAGGTCAATATACAAAAGCCAATTGCCTTCCTAAATACCAGCAATGAATATCTGGAATTTGAAATGCAAAAAATACAATGTAATTTATATTTGCACCTAAAACTTTAAATATTTAGACATAAATCTAAGAAAATATGTACAGGATCTATGCGAGGAGAACTACAAAACTCTGATTAAATAAATCAAAGAAGATCTAAATAAACAGCTATTCCAGGTTCCTTGATAGGAGGACTTGAGATATTTGTCAGTCTTCCCCAATTTAACCTATAGATTTAATGCAATTCCAACCAAACTCCCAGCAAGTTATTTGGTGGTTATCAACAAACTGATTCTAAAGTTTATATGGAAAGCCAAAGATCCAGAATAACACAATACTAAAGAAGAACAAAGTCAGAGGACTGATACTAACCAAATTTAAGATTTACTATACAGCAATCAAGATACCATGGTACTGATGAAAGGATAGACAAATTGATAAGTAGAGCAGAAGAGAGAACCCAAGCATAGACCCACACAAATGTAGTCAACTGATCATTGACAAAGGAGCAAAGGCAATTCAACGGAGGAAGTATAGTCTTTTCAACAAATGATGCTGGAACTGGACATCCATATGCAAAAAAAAAAAAAAGGAATCTAGACACACAACTTATACTCTTCATGAAAAACTAATTAATGTTACACTTAAATGTAAACATGAGACTATGTAACTTCTAGAATACAAGAGGAGAAAATCTAGATGACTGTGGGTTTGGTGAAGAGTTTCTAGGTATGATGCCAAAAGCATGATCCGTGAAAGAAAAACTGTAAGTTGGAGTTTACTAAAATCAGAAACTTCTGTTTGATGAAAGACACTGTTAAAAGAGTGAAGAGAAAGAATGGGAGAAAATATTTGCAAAACATGTATCTGAGAAGGAATTTGTAGCTAAACTACACAAAGAACTCTTAGAACTCAGCAATAAGAGAATAAATAATCCAATAAAAAATGAACAAAGATCTAGATACCTAGCCAAAGAAGATAGACAAATAAGCATCAGATGTCATTAAAGAATTTCAAATTAAAACAACAATGAAATTTTACTACATACCTATTAGAATGGCAACATCCAAAAAACAGAAAATACCAAACACTGGTGAAGATGAGAGGCAACAAGAACATATTCTTTGCTGGTGCGAATACAAAATGGTAAACCAATTTGGGAGATGGTTTGGCAGTTTCTTACGATACATAATCTTACCATACAATCCAGCAATCACACTCCTAGGTATTTATGCAACTGAATTGAAAACTTAAGTCCACACAAAAACCTGCACACAAATGTTTACAGCAGCTTTATTCATAATCACCAAAACCTGGAAGCAACCACGATGTCCTTCATATATCCATACAATGGGATATTATTCAGCAATAAAAAATGATCAAGTCACAAAAAGACGTGGAGAAACCTTAAATGTATATTGCTAAGTGAAAGAAGCTAGCCTGAAAAGTCTACATATGGTATAATTGCAAGTACATAACATTTTGGCAAAGGCAAAACCATAGAGATATTTTAAAAAATCAGTGGTGTCAAGAGTTCTGAAGCAAGAGGGAAAGATGAATAGGTAAAAGCACAAGGGAGTTTTAGGGCAGTGTAACTATTTTGTATGAAACTGTAATGGTAAACACAAGGCATTATGCATTTGTCAAAACCCAAAGAACTGTATAACACAAAGAATGCCTTAATATAAACTATGAACTATAGTTAATAATAGTATCAACTTTCTCATTAATTATAACAAATGTATCACACTGATGTAATAGGGTAGTAGGGTATATTGGGGAGGGGTGAGGGTATACTAAACTCTATGTAACATGTGCTCAATTATTCTATAAATCTGAAACTATACTTTTAAAACTAATTATTTAAAAAACAAACTAAAAGCAAAGGGACCAAAAGAAACTTTTTTTGGTTCTAATTACAAAGGTAGTATATATGCCTTTATATCATATCAGAGTGATTTCAAACAAATTAATATATGGAAAGTATAAAGTTTTTATTATATTATACTTTGCTACTCTTCTTGACCTTAATATAGTCTTAGGTACAGAGCAACAGATTCAGTTTGTAAACAGCAAAACATATTTCTTTCAAAATCATACACTAATACACTTTTCCTTTGTCCACTGGAGATATTAAATTCCTTCTTAGAAATGCCATGTCAACTATCTTTTTAAAGTTTCTAAAATGTATGTTTTCCAATGTTTTGGTCTTATTGGTCTTACTTAATGAACCTTTGATGCTCCGGGATGTGAACAAATTATGTTATGTTCCCCACCTCCATAAGCAAGTAATAATACTTTCACCTCTAGTCTTCATAATACGATTTTTGTTTGAAGTTTATGTGCAAGATTTAGCTCCATAAACACGGATGGAAACACAGCTCTGACAAGTAACATCAACATCAGGACTAAAAGTCCCAGGACTACAAACCACTGCAGAGGAAAAAACATGGAGTACATTATTATCATTTCAGTTGGAGGTATTTTATACCAGTAATATAAATCTGTCTTCAGTATCACACTGTTTCTATACCTATGTTATACTGAGTAATATTCAGCCAATTAAGTTGTGGAAGATTATTTGTGAGTTTGAAACATTTTAATTTGATGATCTTAAAGGTAGGAGAAAGTTGGAATCTTATTTTTTCAATATCAGCATTTTACAGTATCTTCTGCAATGTCCCATTTAGGAGTTCCTATTTTCTAGTTTTCTAGTTTCTGTTTCCAATTCTGTTTTCTAGATAGGATTATTCTGTTTTTTTTCTTCGTAGCATAGCAGCTTAACTCAGAATACTATAAAAATGTTTTATAACACAGAAGAGTGCATTAGGAAGAATTAATACACATAAGAATGATTATATTTAGAAATTTGGTCTTTGAAGTTTTACTTCCCTTTAACTAAATATAACGTATTGTGAAAGAATCACTACATTCAATTATCTTAAGGGAATTAATAATCTATTATTGACTATATAACCTAAATATTTAGATATTTAAATTTTATAATTACCGCAACAGCTAGCGCAATTACTGTGTAGACCTTCATTTTTTCCAAAGCCTGGACGACAGCTATCCATACGTACTACTTGAAAACTGTGGTCCACAAAATGCATAGCTGGTATAGTTTTATTAAAGTCGTGGTAGTAAATATATGCTTGGCTCCGGAAAAATTCTTCTATCCGATCTCTTGCCTAAGATTTTAAAATACCAGAAGTACAATTACTGAATTGTGAACCAAATTTATCCTCCAGTATCGGAGGCAATGAAACATAGTAATAAGCATGTCATGCTTTATCCAATAGATGAATTCCTGAAAAGTTGTGTGTTAATACTAAAATTAGTCTAGTCTTGACCTTATCAATTATTGTCACTCATATGTACAATAGTTAAGAAAAATTAAATTGAGGTTTAAATAATTTGCAGCATGTCTATTTCATGTGTGGATAACGGAGAGTTCATTATTTCTAATTCCAAAGAGGCAAGCCAAATGGAAACCAAAACTGTTCTCTAATCAGCATTACAAACCAGTGATGTAAATTTTATTTTTTGAACACAGAGTTTAATAATAACTAATACTAACTTAGTGCTTTCCATAAGCCATGCACAATATTAAGGGTATGGGCTCAGGAACTAGGTAGGGTGAGTAAAGGGATTTTTTAGACTATGCCCTTAGCCTCTGAGAATGGCAGAGGGGAAGCAACTATTATGACCAGCAGAGATACAATTTTGGAAGAACTACTGTTTAACCTAGGATTACATGGTTGTGGGGCTGTTCTTCAAGATGCTGCTTAGTTACCCTCTGGGAAACAAAAACCAGAGATCCATCCTTCCAACATAGAAAAAATACATATTACTAACCTGGGGAGCTATATATTATTCTAGATGTACTATTCCAAACCAAAACATCTTGATAAAGCCAAGACTCTCTGCTTAAAAAACTGAAATCAAAAATCAATAATACTTTATATTTTTAAAAACAATAATTTAAATCTACTTGCTTAGAATGTCTACTATTAATATTCACAACATGGAAAAATCTATTTTTTAAGAAATGTTTAATAAGAAAGTATTTACAAAAATTTTTACATAGTTTATTATTTAAATACTTCCCCCCTACATTGAAATTCTCACCTGGAGGATATTATGATTAGTTATATCTTCACAGTCGGCAGAATCATTGCATGCACCTTTCCACCCTGGTGCAAAAGGATTAACTGGAGAGGAAAAAAAATGATATCTTCACAAAAGAATTCTAAAAAGTTCCATCCATTCCAATAAAGCTTTGAATGCTGAATTCAGTATGTATGCATGCATGGGTTTAATCTATCTAATCCTAGTAATAAAGTGCACAATTTGAATAACTTACACATTATGATTTCACTCCATCTGGGGGCTAATCAAAGTAACTACAAGGCTTTAAAATAAATGGAAATCAATTTTGTTTGGTTCCCCTCTTTTATTAAATTCTTCTCAAAAATACAATTTAAATTTTCAGGAATTTATAAATTAAATATTAGCTGCATAGAATTTATAAAATGATAGTGACTTCTAAAAGATAAACAACAATATTGGGGTGCCTGTTTGGCTCAGTCTGTACAGCATGTAATTCTTAATCTCAAGGTTGTGAATTCAAGCCTCACAGTGAGCGTGGAGGCTACTTAAAAAAATAAATTAAAAAAAAAAAGGTAAGTAACAATATATCATTGTTTAAAGTAAATAATATATTAAAATTTAAAACCTTAACCAGGCTAGAACCAACAGTATACTTTAGTGCTTAACAAATATTTAAGGCCTATTTTGCAAGATACCTCACATTAAAGAAATGTTAAATTTTTTTCTTACCTTGAAAGGCTATAAATAGCTCATGTACGAGGCCATGTTTTGGAATTTTAACAAAATGGCATTTATATGATGGTTCTACGACATGGCATGACAAATCAGAGATTAAATTATCCAAGATTTTCTTCAGCACTCTAAAAAGCAGGTCATTGTATCTTCCTTCACAAGACTTTGTGGTAAAACGTACAGCCATCTGATATGAATAATCAGGTTCCCGATAGGCTATAAAAAAAGATGAGAATAAAAACAATTGTGCTTACCATTGTGCTACTAAACAATTTGCAAATAATATGTAATATTAAATCTCATTAATCTTGCAAATTAGCATAGAAACTTATCTAGTAAGTTTTATCAGTTTGTCCTAAAAATATATACAAAACTAATAACTTTAATGAAAAAAGGTTGTTTTCTGAGAACAAAGGAAGCAACCTCTTCAACCTCAGCTGCAGCAACTTCTTCCCAGAAACATTGCCAAAGGCAAGGGAAACAAGGGCAAAAAGCAACTACTGGGACTTCATCAAGATCAAAAGCTTTTGCACAGCAAAGGAAACAGTCAAAAAAACCAAAAGACTACTGACAGAATGGGAGAAGATATTTGCAAATGACAGAGAAAGGACTAGTATCCAAAATCTATAAAGAACTTATCAAACTCAACACCCAAAGAACAAATAATCCAATCAAGAAATGGCCAGAAGACATGAACAGACATTTCTGCAAAGAAGACATCCAGATGGCCAACAGACACATGAAAAAGTGGTCAACATCAGGGAAATACAAATCAAAAGCACAATGAGTTACTGCCTCACACCAGTCAGAATGGCTAAAATTAACAAGTCAGGAAAGGACAGATGTTGACGAGGATGCGGAGGAAGGGGAACCCTCCTACACTGTTGGTGGTAATGCAAGCTGGTGTAGCCATTCTGGAAAACAGCATGGAGGTTCCTCAAAAAATTGAAAATAGAGCTACCCTATAACCCAGAAATTGCACTACTGGGTATTTACCCTAAAGATACAAGATCCAAAGGGGCACGTGCACCCAAATGTTTATAGCAGCAATGTCCACAATAGCCAAACTATGGAAAGGACCTATAAGTCCATCAACAGATGAATGGATAAAGAAGATGTGGTATATATATACAATGGAATACTATGCAGCCATCAAAAGAGATGAAATCTTGCCATTTGTGACAACGTGGATGAAACTAGAGGGTATTATGCTGAACAAAATAAGTCAATCGGAGAAAGTCAATTATCATATGATCTCCCTGATATGAGGAATTTGAGAGGCAGAGTGGGGGATTTGGGGGGTAGGGAAGGAAAAAATGAAACAAGATGGGAGCAGGAGGGAGACAAACTATGAGACTCTTAATCTCACAAAACAAGCTGGGGTTGCTGGGGGGAGGAGGGGTGTGGGGAGGGTGGATGGGTTATGGACATTGGAGAGGGTATGTGATATGGTGAGTGTATGAATTGTGTAAGCCTGACAATTCACAAACCTGTACCCCTGGGGGAAATAATACATTATATGTTAATAAAAATAATTTTAAAAACCAGTATGGTACTGCCACAAAAATATACACAGAGATCAACAGAACAGAAAAGAACAGAAAACCCAGAAATAAACCCACAACTATATGGTCAATTTTGACAAAGCAGTAAAGAATATGTAAAAAAGAAAAAAGAAAAAAGCTTGTTTTCATCTGATACATTATCTACTCAGTACAAGAGAAGAAATGGCTGGATATATAGATAAATTAATAGTATCAGAAACAATAAGATGGGGGAATGAATTAATTTGCAGAAAGTGTTACTGTTGTCAGTATAGTCCAATGAAAAGGATGATCAATTTGCTTTTACAGAATTAAACATCAGTTTTAAATGACCTGGCAAAATTGTGGTAAAGTAGATTGTACTTGCATAGTTAGATGGTGGTAAGTGAGAGGCTAAAAGAGGATATTTAGGACACACAATCTAGATGTCAATTTATGAGTTTGCATGGCCAAATATGCCAAAATACTCCATAAGTCATAATAATTATATATAACAGACTCATTTTCACTAAATTAAGAGACTAGACACTTAATTCTTATCCAAACTAAATGTATAAGTTAAAATGTGCCCATATTCTTACCAAAGATCATAAAGTCGTATCTCTGCTTTACTACCGTTTCTTCTTGGGTTTCTGCTTTGACAGTCTTATAAGAAAGAGTACATGTGTAAAGTCCAGACAAAGCCTCCTGAAAATCTTCCATCTTCAGCTTTCCTGTTTTAGTTATATTTATTTGATTATTTTCTAAACAGAAATAGTAAATTACTTGGTTATTTAACATATAACAATTCAAACATTATTTTGTAAATGGGGTTATAAATAAACACAAAACTTAAAAAATTAACGGACTATTTAACTTCAAGAATTCAAAAAAATCTTAATTCTGTTATCTTTATGGAAAACCACATAAGTACACTTTTAAAATATATTTTGGTTTTCTTTAATTCATTTCTTGGCTCTAATTTCATTTGCTTTATGCTGGTAATTTAGTAAATGAGATTACACTACTCTGTAGTACTACACAATTTCCTCATATAGGACAGAAATTAATAATGCTAATACCCCAATACACTCTTCTAACATCATGAAAAATTCCACATTAAATACTTCATCTCCAAGATAGATGCTACAAAGATAATTTTTTAAAAAGATTTTTTAAAAATTTGTTTGACAGAGAGAGTGAGAGAGCACAAGTAGGGGGAGTGCAAGAGGGAGAAGCAGGCTGCCTGCTAAGCAGGGAGCTGGACTTGTGACACTGGGATCATGACCTGAGCAAAAGGCAGGCACTTAACTGACTGAGACTCCCAGGTTCCCCAAATTTTAGGTTTTATAAAAACTTTTGAACTAATATAGCTCTGGGACGTAGGATAAAAAAATTATTGCTTCAGCTTTTTTAATAAAGAGAAAATAAGGCACACCAAAATATAACATGATTTGCTCTAAGTATGGAGCAGGTGAAACTGCAGTTAAAATTAAATTTCAATTTGTTCATCCCAATAAGTCACAGTGCTTTTCTTTAAATAAAAAAAAAAGTCCCTATCATTAAACAAAATAACTATGATCAAATAAATTACCTGTTAATGGCTTTTCATTAGGCCCGATCCATGAGTAGGTGGGGTCCACTGTTTCTTTTTTAGCACGTTTAAAATCCATACAGGCAAGGATTGGGCTACTGTGATGTAATTTTACATATATTTTCACTGCGACAAAATAAAATAATATAAAGCAAAATTAAGAAATACACTTCCTGCCATTTTGTCCCAAAGACATACTGATTAGCTCTTTTTGGATTTCAGTATTTAAAAAATCAGCATATCATTATAACACTTAGAATGTTAATATAAATTTCTTCACCTATAAGTTTTTAAAACTCTATACTGATAGTATTCTTTATAGTTATAACTATAGTTTTGCTTATAAAATGTACATAATTATAGTTTTGCTTATAAAAATGCACATAATATATTTAATTCATTTTAATGTACAAATTCAGAACTCACTTGAATCACAATTCTTTGAAGGGTTAGTAGAATTGATTTAGAGATCAGAAAAGGAAACTATTCTCAAGATAATCACTGTTATCCCTAAGAGGAACTTGATATTTAACTATAAACGTCCTCTTTTGGGAACAATAATTAAGCTTATGTGGGGGCATTCTAGAAAGATTTTCTGCAGTTACCTATTCTGTTTCGGAAAAGAGGCAGCACACTCTACTTCGAACCCACGCAGTCCCACAAGATACTGATTTTAAATCTACTGAATACCAGGCCCTAAACCTACAAAGAAGATACAGTCCCACAATTTGGGAGCGAGGGAGGTGGGAAAAAGGGGAAGGGCTCCAAACATGAAGAGACCCCAAACATGACAAATGCTGTGAACTGGCCCCAAATTATCTAGTTAGCCGAGTGACCAATTTTCCTTGGGGAGTGCCGCTAAGTGTCATCACAGTGATAAACGACATTTGAGCTGAGCCTTAAAGGATGTGTAGGAGCTCCAAACAGAGGGACTTGCAGCCCTGGAAATCACTCTGAGCGGGCCCCGCGCGTTGCAAAGCAGCAGAGACACCTGGAAGTGAGGTGGCATCAGAGAAAGATCTGGATTGAAGCCCAGCTCCTTATGAGCTGTGCGGCTTTAGGCCAGGTGATAACACTAAGGCATCGCTGTAAGGATGAAATGATGCGAGGGCCAAGCACCAGGTGGACGGGCAGTGAGCTCTCTCTCCCTTTCCCTTCGCTGGAAGAACACTAAGCAGGTCCACTGCACACCCGGCTCTTCTGATAAGACTCTGCGGGTGAAGAGGTCCTTAGTACCTGGGTGTCCCGGCTTGCCATAAATGAGGCCTTTCCCGGTACGTTCAGAAGAACGCTGCCATCCAGCTGTGGAAGAAAGAAACCACTGACTTTTTAGGTAGAAGGGGAGCGGGGACTCAGAGTAGGGCAGGGCGCGGCAAAGCGGAGGGGGCAGGACTGGGAAGAGGGGCCAGGCGGGCGGAGGGGGGCCGGGCAGGCGGGAGGAGCCCCACCTCCAGTGAGGTACCAGAGCACCGCGGAGAGTAGGACCCACGCTCGCATCACGGCTCAGGGGCTAGCTTCGCGGGAGGCGTCGAGGGTCGGGCTCCTTCCTACCTCAGCCCAGGCCCAGCGCCTCCCCATCCCTCCTCCACAGAGCGGAGCAAACCGCCGGGGTCAGCTCCCCTACCGGTCCGTCGCTACAGCGGGAGCGGACGCGCAGGAGAGCGCGTGCGCGCTCCGCCGCCTCGAGAGCGGGGGCGGGGCGGGCGCGTGCTGGGCCCGATCACGGGAGGCGAGCGCCCCGCCCCCCTCACGCGCATGCGTCCGCCCTTGTGCGAGTGCCTCGCGCCTGGAGCCATTTTCCCGCGCTCTCTGTGACTTCTTTCTTTGAGTAGCACCCCCTAGCCCCGAGAGAAGGAAAGAGTAATATTAAGGAAGCCAAACCTTCGCGAATCGGTTATTTTCTTTTTTGTAGGCTGACGACGTCCAGGAGAGGAACAGTGTGGATCCCATGTAGGACAATGGGGTAAGGCGCATAAGGATGCAATTACATTAGAACTGGAGGGAAGGAGAAGCGTGTTAAGAATTTACTCCTTACAGGAAGCAAAGAGCCTGTGGGAATTTCTGGTGCCTTGCTTCTCATGAATTCTGCCTGAAGTTGTGTGCAACATCTTTTCCAAACTCTTCCACCCAATTTTTACGTAACTGCATTTTCTAGCCCCCCAAACGAAGAACCCGAAGAACCACTCGTGCGTCAAGAAGGCGTCCCCACCCTTTCCCACGCTAGAGGAACATTTAACCTTTAATTTTCCACATCGAGTATGAGACGGCATTGGGAGACCCCACCCCATGCAAATTTACCTGGGGTCGTGAAGAAACCTTGCTTTTGAAAAGGGGCCCAATCGAAAGGCAAGATTCCCCCAAGTCTGCTTTTCTCCTGTGGGGACGGATCACAGAGGTCGGAAAGAGACCATACACGCGTCTTCCATGGTTCTTTCTTGGCGACCAGTTTGGCGGCCTGTTTGTTGTCTATTTCTTAGCAGCGGGACACCCTCAGGGGTGGTTTTGAGTAGGCCGGTGGGTAAAGAAACCAAGGTTCAGACAGGGTGCAGAATGATTATTTTGGGTGAGATCAAGAGTTTTCGGTTTTATTTCCTTTGAGCCAAGTCAGTACTTGGACTATCTCAGATGGTCCAGGAGCAAACTTTGTCAGTGATTTCATTTTTAGTCACTGTTAATTATACCTACGTAGCTTAAGCCATGAGATGTGATTCGGTGAGTCAGATCCACCCATGTCGGTTACTGTGTCTAGATTCATGGTTTAGTCTCAACTGTTCTCTTCCTTCTTGAGGTGGTGATGATGAAGACAAATTTAGGGATTATCTTGAATTCCCTAGCAGTTTGACATTTCAGTTTTAGTCAAAGTACATTATAAGTCCACAGTGTTTTTTTAATTAGTTTCCCAGTTATTAGAAGCAATCAATTCTTATAAATACTGTATAATAAACTTTGAATACTGTGAGATGAGACTTAACCAAATGAGTAGTAGTAGCAGTTTGTTGAAAGTACCCCTCCATTCTTTTAAAATAAACTTCTGATTTTAGAACAGTTGGGTGGCTCAGTCCTTAAGCATCTGCTTTGGGCTCAGGTCATGATCCCAGCGTCCTGGGATCCAGCCCTGCATCGGGCTCCCTGCTTAGCGGGAAGCCTGCTTCTCCATCTCCCATTCCCTCTGCTTGTGTTCCCTCTCTCACTGTGTCTCTCTCTGTCAAATGAAGGAAGTCTTAAAAAAAAAAAAAACAGTTTTAGATCTACAAAAAAATTGTGAATGTAGTACAGAGTTCTTGTGTACTCCCACCTAGTTTTCCCTACTAATGACATCTTACATTAGTATTGTACATTTCTCACAATTAATGGACTAGCATCGATACATTACTATTAAATAAGGCATCTACTTTATTTAGATTTCTTAGCTTTTACTTAAATGTCCTTTTTCTGCTCCAGAATCCCACCCAGACTCCCACATTACATTAAGTCATTATGTTTTCTTAGGTTCTTCTTGGCTGTGACAGTTTCTCAGACATTTCTTATTTTTGACATTAAGAGTTAATGACAATTTTGATGCCATTACCTGACCTTAACTAGGTAGGTACTTTGCAGAATGCCTCTCTACTGGAATTTGTCTGACATTTTCTCATTGTTTTACTAAGGGCATAGATTTTTGGGTAGAAGACTATAGATATAAGTGCCATTCCCATAACATTGTATTAAGGGTACATACTACCAATGTATTTTATCACTGTTGATGTTACCTTGATCACCTGGCTAAGGTAGTGTTTGTCAGATTTCTCTTCTTCAAAATTATTCTTTCCCTCCCTTATGTACCATACTGTTTGGAAGGAAGTCACTATAGGAAGCCCACACTAAGGAGTGGGGATTATGCTCCACCTCCTTGAGGGCGGAGTAGCTACATAAATTATTTCATCCACCTACTTTTTATTTATTCCCCTAAGTACCATTCTCTGGAGTCTGAAATACTTCATTTTGAACTAATTATTTACAGAGTAGTAACACATTCCACTGCTAAGTATAATAACAGTTTTACATCCTTTTAATAACCAAATAACTATTCATCCTTAAACCATCCCTGTGAAATTTTACAGTTCCTCTTCTGCTACTTTTGATGTGCTATTTTTGCTTTTAGAAACTAACAAACAACAAATTTCCCCTTTCAATACTATAATTAGACCTGGTGTTTAGAGTATTTCTCCAAAATTGATATTATCCCATAGAACTCTAACCCATACAATCTACAGAGATACCTCCATGGTGTCATGATCTTAAAGACAATGCAAGCTGTTTACTTAGGAAAAAAAAAAATCACCCACTACACATAAATGTGTATGTATATTGATACACACACATGTATGTTGACCTTCTATACCAAGGCATATTTAAAATAAACTAAAATTCATAAATTACAATATGGACACTTTAGTTTGTAAGTGTGGGTTTCTTCTGATACGGTCTGCTGATGCACAACCCCCCAACCTTAAGTCTGAAGTAGATTTGTATACATTAACAATGTAATTTTCTAACAAGGGTGGAAGTGACCTTTTTGAGAATCATTCACATGTTGTCCAATTCAACACAATGGATATCTTTATAAGGATTCACTGGAACAATGTCCCTTAGACTTCAATGTGAAGAAAAGTTCTGCGTTTGAAAAATTGTCATACGGGCACTTCCCCTTTCCTTTTCCTATAGTCAAATTTGTGCGTTACCTCTATAAAGCAAGAAGGATACTAGGGAAAGATGTTGACTGGTATGTTTCTGTGCAATAACATCCTTTAATTAATTTTACTATCTTATCACACTCTCCCCTTAGCTCTATTTTCTTACTTTTCTGATCATTGTATGTATGTATATGTATATGTTTTTTGTAAGCTGTCTCAGATCCTACTTGGAAGAAAGCAGAGTAGTAGAAAATAAACACATAGAGTACATAGTAAGTGAAAACAAAAGTGAGAGAATTTTTGCTTCCCGAAATGAAAAAGTTGATAAAAGTGCCCAAATCCCTTTGAACTGCCTTAGAGTTTTCTGAAAACTTGGACCAAGAATTATCATGTGAAAAGAAAAACAGGAAGAAAAACATAAGACTTCAAACGGAGAGAGTTCTCTTTGACTATATTCATTGCTATCATCCCCGAATCTAGACCAAAAGTTCCAGATCTTGTTAAATTTAAGACAAACCTCTTTGAATTTAAACTTTGAACTTAAGAAAACAATCCAGATCGTCCCTCCCCCCATATATTACCCTACCATCCATTATCCTTCTTAAATAGATACTTTGGGACAATTTACTGATGCGCCATTTCCATCCTATCTGGTTCTCAGGTTTGACATTCAAAAGGGGGCTGGAGGTGCGGAACCTCGGGCTCTCTCCTTGGTGAGCGTACTTTAAAGCCGCCGCCAGCCAGCGCCGCTGTAACCCCGCGCACCGGCCGGTCGCCGGCTCCTGCCCCTTTCAATCTGCGCCGACGCGGCTGCCGGATCCCGGGGACTCCCCACGCCGGGAATCTCCCGCCAGCTGCGCGCTGCGACCCGGCGACGGCAGGAGCACGTGGAGCGGCCGGGAAGCCAGAGCGCAACTCCAATCCAGTCCAGCCCAGCCCAGCCCGGCGGCGAGATGGAAGGTGAGCCTCCAGCCCGCTTCTTTTCTAAGGGGTCTTTGAAAAGTTCGACCGGTGCACGCAGCAGAGAGAGCTCCTTCTGAATCTCGGTTTTGCTTCTATTTATTTCTTTTGTCAAGAGTAAATATGAGGTATTTCAGAAGGCAAAGCGTGTCGGTTCTCATACATCTCTCATACTGCCCCCCCCAAGCCCCCACCTAACTTTGGAAAGTGATAACTTCTCCTCAGTTTTATGTCTTAAGGGTTGTCAGACATGAGGGGTCAACTCGAAGTCTGCAGAGGAAGAGTACTTGTGGGGCGTCCCTGAAATGGCAGCAAACTGGGTTGGAATCACTGATCTTTTTGGATGCTTTTTTCCTCCATGGCCTTAGTGTCCATTGGAATTATGCTAATCTGAGTGACTTCTTTAGAATGAAACATGACAGTTTTTTTCTTCAAAGAGTAAATGTTATCATATGGGAAAGGTAAATTTTTATGTGGTTGGCACTGGTGGTTCCCTTGGAACTCTTTTAATGATCTTTTTTTACCCAAAGCAAAAATCAAGCTCCATTTAAAAATTTCATTTGAATTAATTTTGAAAATCATGAAACTCCTCGTTTCTCAAAAATTTTACAGTATATACTTACTTGGGTAACTAAAATTTCACACTACTGTTGTAAACTTCTCAGTGGTCTTTTCAACAAGTGTTTGTAAAACCTTGAAAATGGCAGATGCATTTCAAATTGGGGAAGGTGATGATATTTCGAAGATCAGAATTTGTGAGAAACATATTCATTGTCTTAATAAATGAGATACTGACACCTAATAAAAATGTTAATTTGATAAATATTATGAATAGCAGGATTTTTTCATAATAATAGAAGGATTTTCTGTTGTCAATTAACCTTGATCTTTGGCAACTCTAAACCTAGAATATATGAAGTTATTTAAATTTGATTAAATATTTTGGGATACAAGGTGTAGGAGGTAGAGCTTCCCTCCCACACACACACATAATATCATTGAATGCAATTTTACGATCCTGAAGTATTTACCTGGGTATGCT